AGCCACATATCCTGGCAGAGCACCATTAAATGATCCATGAGTTGGGGGCTACCGTGTTTGCAGATCTCAGTAGGAATTGCGAACGATCCGGGCGGTTTTCTGTTGGAGAGCTGCTGCAGGGCCCTGATGGTTGCGGGAGGTCGAGGTCGGCGTCGGTCCCCACTTGAGGCAGACGAGCGATGGCGGCATCGGAGGTGGTGGAGGGATAGTTGAGTACGCATTAGAAGTGCTCGGCTCATCGCTGTAGAATTTGTGACCTCTCAGTGAGTAGGGGTGTTCCGTCGGCTCTGAGAAGAGTAGCAGTACCTCTGGTTGGCGAACCGTAGAAGGCTTTGACCGCGGAGAGGAAGTTCTTCCATTCGTTGTGGTCCACGTACCCTTGGATCTCCTCGGTCCTGCGAGTTGTCCATGCCTCCTGCATCTCCCTCAGCCGCTGTTGCACAAGGCTGCGACTACGGTGGAATGCAGCTGTGTTGTCGTTAGTGGGGCGGCCGACGTAGGCTTTATGCAGGCGGTTCTTCTAGGTGAGCAGGTTGTTGATGACGGCCAGCGTCGTCGACTGGACTGTGTCACTTGGTTGGCACCATCCGATCTCCACAGAGGCGCTCTCGTCGGCGGCCGCGGCGGCGGCGGCGGCGGCGGTGGCGGGAGCAGCGACTGGAAGGCTGGCTGGTCGCTGAACTAGCTCACTGCTGAAATGGAGATGGTGAGCAGGAAACGACAGCAAAGTTATATTCGACTTACCTAGGGGTACGTTTACCTTGAAGTCTCCTGCGAGGCTGCGGGCAAATCCGCATCTTGGAGATGACGAGACGATGGTCGGTCCAGCAGTCGGCACCCGAAATCGCCTTTGTCACCAGCACGTCACGTTGGTCTCGCCTCCGAACGACATTGTCCAGCAGGTGCCAGTTTCGCAACCGAGTGTGCATCCAGGTGGCTTCCTCTCGCATCGGGAGGCGGAAGTAGGTGTTGATCAGGATGAATCGGTGTTCTGCGCAGGTTCTTAGAAGTAGCTGGACATTGTCATTGCGGCCGTCGATACCATGGACCCAGCACCCCTCTCCAGGCAGTATGGTCTGCGCGACGCAGAAGTTTAAGTCATCAAGGACAATCAACTTATCCGCCTTCGACACAGTCGCCAGGAGGGCGTGCAGGTCCTCATAGAATTTGTCCCTTGTGGCGTCGGAGTCTGGTCATTGGGGTTGGGCGTAGACGCTGGTGATGGTGCGAATTTGCCTTCCCGTAGCGGAGGCCGGATGCAAATTAGACGATCGACGATACCCTGCGGCAGACAGGGCAGCTGCCCACGATGTCGCTCCGGATGACAAAGGCGACACCTGGGACTCTGGATCGACCGCTCCAGAAGAAGGTGCAATCAGCTCCCACCTCCTCCATTTGGCCTTGTTCGGGGGACCGGATCTTGTTGAGTGCAGCGATGCCCACCTTTTAAAGCCCCAGTTTCCGTGCCACTAGTGCCGTCCTCCGATCTGGTCAATTGCTCCTCGGATTGTCTAAAAGGGAACCAACATTGCAGGCTGCCATAATGGGCGGGCTCATTCTACCAGTCTGGCGGGTAGGGCGGCGAGGAGGAGGAGGAGGAGGAGGAGTGCTGTTTCGATTTTGATTGTTTCGACCGTGTGTTTTGCATCTGCGACCACGGTCAGTCTGCAGATGGCGTGGTTCCCCATTATTTGTTTAGGGCACCTTTTTTAGCCCCTTCTCCTCGCGGGGGCGAGCAGTTATCTCCCTAAATGGGACTGCTCAGTTGTTCCAAAGGGCTGACGAAATCCCCTATGGGATACGTCTTTCCTTAGTGGGAGAACGAAAGAATTTGACTGTCTACGACATCGCCATAGGACTTGAAAGGGGGGAGGGGGACGAGCGAAGGGTAGAGAGGTGGGGTGCAGAGTTTTCTCGTAATTCTCGAGTTTATCTGGTTGCTGAAATATATAAACGGCGAGCAGGTGCAATCAACAGAACGACATTCAGCTTGGAGTAACGACCGACACGAACAAGCAGACAAAAGCAAGCAGGCAGAACAGCAAGAAGCAGAGGCAACAGTGGAGACTCAACAAAACGATAGTTAGTTTTTAACAAAGACAGACACAGAGTAGGCGAGCGCGAACAAGCAAAAGCAATGACAGTAGAGCAGCGATCGCTTTCCTGGAGGCTCACTTACCTGGTGGCCTCCTACGGTGTTCCAGACGGAGCCTCGTCTCGGCGATGCCGATGCGATGATCCATCCGGCCAGCAGAGCCGAGATTACCGTGTGGGGAAATGCACACACGGATACCCTCATCTGATTTAGACAGCCGGTCGAGGCGGTTACCGGGTTGTGGCCACTTGACAGAGCCTAGCTTCGTGGAGCCACATGTGGGAGTTGGGCATCAGCAAATGGACCCTGGGTGTAGTCTACGTCCGCAAGCAAGTGAGCGACCTACTACGTCCGATAAGCGAACCCACCGAAGGACACTCCCAAACCACATTTTTGTCACAGGTGCAAATACACAGACATAGAAAATGCGGCAATATATGCGCGAAGATAATTTCAGCCCTGCCCAAAAACCGCGTAACTTAAGTTACTGCACACGTACAACTTAAGAGTTGTGGGCGTTGCCGGCAAACTTCTTAAATGGATCGGTGATTTCTTCGTCGGTCGTTCCCAAATTGTCTGTGCGGAGCAATAGCAGTCAAGACGCATAGTCATAGATATTGGAGTCCCACAAAGCTTAGTGCTCGAACCGGCTCTCTTTCCATTGCTTATTAAGGATTGTGAAGAGGAGTTGGACTGAGACTGTGTCATATTTGCCGATGATATTAAAATCTGGGAAGTCACCCACGATGCTGCTGACGAGACCAACTCTCAAGAAGATTTTTGTCAATTGGAGGTATGGACCCGCAGATGACTCCTGTCCTTCAATTTGAAGAAATGCACCATACTACATCTCAGGAATCGAAATCGGACCCATAATACGCGGCAATATTATTTGAACCGGATGCCGCTTCGAGAAACATAAACTCTGAAATATCTCGGTATCTGGATTACAGACACTCTAAAGCCTGCTACGCAATCTCCTTAGACAGCCAAAGCCGCAACTTCCATGCTGTACGTCATCAGCCGGGCATCCACAGTCTTCGATGAAGAATCCTTGGCCAAAGCCTTTGGCACGTTTGTAAGGCTGCAACTTGAATTTGCAATACAGGCTTGGAGGACATGGAAGCAGCAGGATTGTAATTTACTCGAAAGGGTACAGAGGCAAGCAAAAAAATTAGTAGGGGGCAAAGTGCACGGTCTTACGAGATTCGCCTGAATAGCTTTAATGCCTATCCTCTGAGTTATAGGCAGTTGCGCGGACACTTTCCGTATTGTGCGTGGCATGGACTGCGCCATCCGGTGTTGCGACGTTTTCCAACTCGCTACTACAACTAATCTCCGGGGACATCTCTTCAAACTACTTGTTTCCAAAAGAAGATTGGATGTGAGAAAGTACTTTTTCCCCAACCGTGTCGTTGAATCCTGGAATAATCTGCCTGAGGCGACTGTAATGTCTCAGTCTGTGGAGACATTTAGTTATCGGTTTGACAGAGATATTATGCATCAACAAGCAGAATATACGACTATACCAATAGAAAACCAATGCCTTGTGCGCATCGATGCCTGCATTTACTTGTGGCTGGAATTTCTTTATGTTGTTGCTAATTTTCTAAATTTTTATGTACATGTAGGGAGTCAAAAGGCGTTAGCCTATTTCTATCAAATATACTGAATTCTGAATACACACACCTCGATGTTAAGTATGAAAAAAATCGTAGTATGGCTATTTGGCATTCCCAGTAAAAATACTACAATGTTACTGATAGGTCTGCCCAAGTTGCATATGTGCTAATAGATTACTTTCAGACGTTAAATGCCTCTCGAGATGTTTCGTTTTCTGCGCTAACGAAAATCGACTGGCGGCTGCGTGCGGATCTGCGCATGACAACGCATGGACACATCTTTCAATTTTACTGTTTCTTCAAAATTAGGTATTCCCTTGACACCTAGCTTGACCAAGCAAGTAGGGCGACTAAAACGACAGGTGCTGTCTGACACGGCCCCCGATAACAGTCGATTCCTGTGTCGTGTATGCATCCGATAGAGACTTGATTGTCATCGACTTTCAAGGCAAACTCTACCTCGATATGACATTACCTCTGTTGATTATGATATGCCATGCTACCATCCAAAGAGTTAAGGTTACGTAAACCAAAGGAACCACATGTTATGAATGCAAAACAGAAGGTTAGTTGGAAATAGGACGTGTAATGATTACGAGTGACAGCACACGTGAGGAGGCTTGTCGAAACGGCCGGGTATATGGCAGGGAGGAATGTCATACACGGGTGAGTGGCAAATTAGCACAAAGAAGGGGTGAACAGGGGTACAGGCCCTTGATCGTCCGCTTGTCGCGCGCATGTGGCACGATGTCCTGACGGCCCCGGCAGCATACGCTGAATTACACCGCCCCTGATCTAATACGCAGCGACATTCCCGACGTAAATGCCACAGGTCCTGGAGCGTTGTACTTCGCTCCTGCAGAGCGTCCTAAACCGTCCCTCGGCAATACTCAAATAAGTCATCAACCGACTCTCTTAAGTATACGAAAATAATGATCTGGATCGTCCGCCTGCTCATTTTGAAACAACCAGAGTAGTGAGATAACTGTCCAGTGGAAATGCCGGGAACGGACCCGATCTCAGTCGATGTTTTCAAGTACGCTGGCCTGCAAATAATGGAAAAGCCTGGTTCGCGAGCCCGGAAGATGTGACGATAGAGACACATCCCCAAGACTTCACAGATATCATTATCTTGCATATTTAAGAGCTCAGTGGAGCAGGCAACCGTGTTATTTCCGCGGAGAGATCCCCCTTCGCGACGTCACGGGCGAAGTTTTCGCCCATGTTATAATGTATCGCGGGAACAAGCGTTTGGAAAGGGGACTACTTCCAGAAAAGCGGTGGGGAATTCTATAACACAGCGAAACGACAGACAGGAATCTCGCCGATCGGTAACTGTTGGGGAAGTGATAGGGGATGAGAACCAGTTTATTCACTACCGCCGCAGATCTCACGAAGGTCCTAGACAGACTGAGTTGCGGGAGTCGCCGAAAAATCATGTAGAAATTTGTATACTCTCAGCGATTCCTCCAACTGATAGGATAGCTTCACGACAGGATAATTGCTCACGTCATCCAAAACAGGGCGATCTCTGAGGCGCTCTCCATCATACTTGGTGGTAAAACAGGGCTGCGTACTTGCTCTCAATAGGTCAGTCCCACATTTTCTTTATGACACTGAGTGTCTACCGTAATGCGTGGCGGATGATCGATATAAACTGCCGAACTGATAAAACGCTATTCAATGTTCATCGCCTGAAATCTCCCTCGAATGCATTCAGGACTGGCATTCCCGACCTGTCGTTCCTTGGTGGCTGGGCGCTAAATACCACAACGAAGCGTATATGCATCGCAGCGTGGACCTCTCCCTTACTGACTTCTCCAACTCTATCCTTCTCATCAGCACGGATGTGTAGGGCTGCTATCCTGAAAACGCTTGTTTGCAGAGCAGAGGACCGGCTCGAGTGCAAAGTTCGAGTGAAAGACTCAGTGAAATCCCCGGAAGAACTGGCGTTCTCAGCATTCATGCCGTTCTCAAGCAGATATAACTGCAGTTGAGCAGCCGGTTCGCGTTGGTGGGAGATAAGCGTGTTCGCAAGCAGCTGTTGACATTTATGCGGGCAAGAATGTTCGCAGGTAAAGTAGACAGAAACATTAATGTAATGACGCCTTGAAGACCTCCCACGAGAACCCGATGGCCACTCAGAGAAATGCGAGCATCCCGCCAAAGGCCCGAAACCATAGCGTGCTGCCACATAGACTGGAGTCGCCATTGTAAAACCAGTTCGAATCTCCGTTGCTTCGGCAAAGAGGGGTTTGCATGGCTCACGTGCTGTGGACAAATGACACAAGCACCCATCCTTTCCATCGTGTCGATGTTTTCAACGGACATCTCGTGTACAAACTGGCTTTGTTGGGTATTTGCGGACCCAGTGGAATGGCTAATGAATCAACCTACTTCTCATCTCGTATTGCACCCCTACAACAGTTAACTACAGGGTAATCAGTGCGGACACTCCTACCGACTTGCAAAACATCTTCATTTTCTGTGTCCATAACAATGTAGACGCAATTCCAGCCAGTCACCATTTCGACGGCAAATTCTCTCACATTTGTGCCTCGCCGGCCGTTTGCAAATTCAGCGCATTGAGACCAACGGGCCAGTGAATGTTTTCCTAACACTTGGCCGTCCTGATGCTGCTTCGCCCTCGGGGAATGTTGGTTTAGGGGTAAGACAGCCGTAGATATTGCGCAAGTCCACCAACTTGTAGATTAATTCGAAATCTAATCAACGGTGATGGTTGTACTCTGGAGGCAAATGGTTGGCGTCGCCTTTTACGAAGAATGACCTGTCATCAATGCGGGCGCACAAACCTGCAGAGTCTTTTGATCTTCTGTGTATGTAATAACGCGCCAAATATCTACACACTTGTGACGCCTCATGTTGCGTAAGATTTTTGATTGGGTCTCTGCGTGAACTCGTAGTCTGTGTGGGAATAAAAATGTTATTGAAATATGTTTATGCTAAAAATCACACTCATAATTTAAGTTTCCATATTGGCCTGGAGGTCGGGCAAAGACCATAGTGGGTCTGAAATCATGGTGGACGAAAATTCCTTTCGCAACAAGTAATGGAAACAATTCACAGGCGAGTTTGCTGAGTGACCTCTAATCAAACACTTATTCAAGCGTAAATAATCAATCAAGCACACACACATCTCTTCCCAGATGACTAGTGCCTTCTTGATGAAAGGAAGTGTGGTCGGCGACGTGAGATAAAATGCACTGAAAACAAGTAGTGGGGATGTCGGGGCCTCATAATTACGGCAACGGTGTCACTAAAAGGGAATTGGTAGAAGTCGAGTTACATCTTAGGGCTGACACCGTGTTACTGAAGCAGGCAACTAGCCCACAATTTTTCGTTGTAGTTGAGAACACCGAAGTTACTCTGCGCAACTCGCCTTCGATCTACTCGAATTCTTGCCCGCATTGGCCTTTTTCTTATTAGGATGAAAGACATTATCTACAGTGACTGACCTATCTCATGAAATGTTAGCCGAAATTCTGAAATGCGTTTTCGATTTGGA